AATTTTCCCTCAATTTTTTTAGTCGCCTAAAGTCGTCCGAAGTTGGCGACGACTTAAAGCGACTAATTCAGGACTCGGAGTAGGCCTTAAGGCTAATTTCCACTCCGGTAAATAAGTAGCGGATCGGACCGGATTGGAACAAAACAAGATCCGCGCATGCGCCATCAGTAGAAATTTTTTGTTCCGCTTGATCCGGCGACGTTGCTGGCAGGATAATAAAAAGTTGAAATGTTTTCAACTTTTTTTGGTCCAGTCCTGCGGATTAAATCTGGCGACCAATCAAAATGCCGTATTATCTCGAATAAATTAAAATAATTAAAATAAATAATACTTGTATAAAATTTACACATGGAGGATAATTCAGGAGCTTTCTTGGAGAATTCGAGGGTGAATTTACATGAATTGGAGAGTACAACAGGTCTTCAAATTTGCTTGGCAAAATATGAAATTGCTTAAAAAATATTCATGCTCATATAGCTTTTACTATTCTATCAATAAGTGGTATTCACTTTTCCATTGTCTTTCCTGAAACATTTTTCTTATCCAAATGCTCTTTTTGTACTTTTCTTGTTTGCTTATCCTTTGTTGGCGATCACGTAGAAAGGTAAGACGAGGGACACAGTTGTTCAGAGCCACTGCCATTTTGAAAATAGCGACTGGAATGAGTTCCATTTTTTTCCTTTTCCGTTCCGATCATCCCACTTGTCTTTTTACTAGAAATCGCTTGTTGGATCGAACCGGATTGGATAAACCTCCGATCCGGTCCATTCCGCTGCTTATTTTCCTGAGTGGAAATTAGCTTTTAGAGAGCCTGTAGCGCAGCCAAGCGTTTTCAATACCATACTAGAACGTTTTTACCAATGTCATGTAATAGATTATGGCTTCCGACCAGTGCATGCGTGAGAAATTTTCATTATATTTTAAAGCATCTATTAGGAAGACTTCCATTTGGCTAATCAGAGTTTTCTCTACATTGCGTTTACTGAAGTTTTTTACGAAATTTAGGAACAGTAACGTTAATGTTCCATGGCGTCGGGAAAGAACTTGGCACAGCTTTGACAGGATGGCTGTTCACCTCACAAGGAACTACAATGACTTTATGCTACTACTCCCTTACAACAGTAGTATTTCTAGTAGTATTTGCAGTCTACCTATTTACTGCCAAGGACCTTGATGAATACACCCGCTTGCCAGCAAGCGACTCTGATGATAATGAAAAGGAGTAGATAGATTTGTAAAGATAACAAACATATTTTTTTTGCCTTTGTTGCGTCATCTCAGAAAAATTCTCGAATTTGTCAATATTCATGCTGCAGCAAAGAAATAGCTATCGTTGCTAAGCCCTTGCGTTGTAGGATACTATAGGCTATGTTTAATTTAGCTAAGTTATATTGCCAAACAGAGAATTTTGTTGAATTTTGAAATGAAACAATAGGCCTACACTGCATGCATGCATGCATGTGCGAGTTAAGAAGCCCTATGATTTTACTTCGAAAATTCGAGGTAAATGCTTTGTTCGCATATATAACCTATAGTCAGGGACGCCGGAACTGGGGGGCAGGAGGGGCAGCCGCCCCGTTGCCCTTTACCAGGAGGGGCAAGGGGGGCAAATGTGCCCTTTCAATTTCAAGGATTGCCTTGGCAAAATAGCGAATTGTCAGAAATGTTAGTGCAATTCTCTTACGAATTTGCTTCAGAAAACGCAAGTAATGCAGTCATCGAGCTTCAAGAATAGCACAATCGCCTGGCGGAGAACCCCTTCTCACCCCTATCATCCAATAAATTGAAAACTTGATTAGGCGAAGTTCAACTCCCGATGTTTTGCAAACATCTCTTAGTATATATCAATTCAAAAGTGCCCTTTCACGAAAATCTGCACCCCCCCCCCTTGCCTTCACATCGTTCCGGCGTCCCTGTCTATAGTTGTTTACACCAGCGGGCTCTTCAACTCAAACGTTTTACCTATCTTATTTAATTAACCAAATAATATTTGATATACAATTTTATGCAAATTTTTAACAATGTCAAATATGCTTATTCGATTTAAAACATCGATAGTTCAGTAAATGTTGCACGCACATTCAAATGTTATATCAAAATCGATGTTAGCCCTTTCTGAATACAATAAGACTTATTTGAGTGCAATATCTTTTATAGTTTTTTCGTTACATTAAATCAAGCAGTATGTTTCATAATGTTTGGGAAATTGATAATTTCGTAATTAAAAGTGATATTATTGGGGTTTTTCTCATTTTTCAATTGTAAAAATATTCTAAATAGAATTATCGTGTTACCACGACGACTAATTTAGATACTTCATTTTCGGAAAATACAATGGTTTTGTCAGCAAGGCGAGGGTTTTTGCATGCATGTATTTTCTAGTATAGCACTAACTATATTCCAGTCCCTTGTGCGAACTCTTACACCCTAATAAGTTTGTAGACGTTCTCTGGTTTTAATAGTACCAGAAAGATATGCATGCAACAACCCCTCGCCCACATTTCCCAAACATTGTTTGAACATGAAGTATTCTAATTACATCAACATGGTACGCAGGCTCACGTTACTCGCGTCATGTTACACGCGTAAAAATTGAGAAAATCAACAACTTGTTCCAGGTTGATATGAACAGGCGTAAACAAGGTTGTGCGGCCTACTATGAACAGTATTGTCAACATGTTACAGCATTGTTCAACTGTAACAACTTGGAACAACATGGTTGACAACTTGTTCATAGTTGGCCGCACATTGTTCACGCCTGTCGATATCAACTTGGAACAACCTGTGTGTTTTAGCCGTGTAGCCATGGCAACACGATAATTATTTTCTTAAATTTTTGTTCAAAGCGGCAAAAATAAATTAATTAATGTTTTACTCGTTTAGCCACATAACTATCGATTTCTAACATATATATAAAGTAGGTATGTTATTTTGCTTTCTATGGGCCTTATTATAACGCAAAATTCAACACGAAACGCTTCGTACAACGTTTTTAAATTTTATTGAAATTATCTGCTTTTTGCCGATAAACTCTTCAACTTTAATACTCGATCGTATGAAATAAATTTAAGTCATATATACTCAGCTCGCTCTTGAAAATAATTTTCTCTTTTTTTGAGCTTTTATAAAAGAAATTAAAACAAGCTAATTCAAAGAAACTTTCACATAGAATGAAAAGGAATTAAAGCTGTACATGTTGAAGACCTTCAGTTCAGGCGAAAACTGGACTGCATAAAGGAATACCGAATGGTTTTCCGTGCAGGATTGCGTGATCCATGCACGCAGGATGTTGCGAGACTTTTGGAAAGCGTAAAAATACACGAGCCGTAGGCGAGTGTATTTTTACGCTTTCCGAAAGTCGAGCAACATCCCAAGTGCATGGATCATGCTATCCTGCACGGGAAAACCATTTGGTAATTGTTTTATAAAATTACTACAGTGTTGATCAATCAAATTGCGTGTTTCACTGTAGTTATTATATAAAAGTCTTTGATACATAAACAGTAAAAATAAACTTACCCTATACTCCATAGAATACTTCAGGACTATTTCATATGCTTCTCATTTCGTTAAAATTTGAAAAAGGTGATTTACAACTTAATATTGTATGAAAATATGTCCAAGCTTTCTGTTATGCATGCTTTTTTCAGTCTTTGCTTCAAAAGTTCCTTCACTCCTGGCAATCGGCTATATTTTTGAGATCAGTGAGATGACCACCCATGCATAGCCATGCGCCCACGATCATTGATGAACTTTCAATTTCGCTGGTGCTTTCCTTTCCCCGTGTGTAAATGGCCGAGCGGAATTAGCACCCTCGCCGCGGGCTTCGCCTTACGCGCTCCGCGCGTGGCTCGGGGACGAGCTTTTGGCTGCCAGTCATAGATTACAATGAGAGTGTGCATGACAATCAACGGTTTACAAACTGTCGCGTCTCAACCTCCCGTGCTGCTCTCCGTGCCGATATAGTTTTATTTTTTGCAACTGCTCCTGGTTAGGTGTAATAAATGTGTAGGGCCTATAAAATAGCCCGGCTCCAAATTTCAGTTTACAAATCCCTCCAACAACTACTAGTTATATCGAGTGAGAAGTCAATGAAATCCTGATATTAGAGAGGTTAAGATACCCCGGTTTCGGTGTACGGGTACGAGTAGTGTCATCTTGGTTTACTGATGTCTGTAATTCGATCATACTTTTTCTGTTTTCTTGCAATAGACAATGATATAATGCGAAAAATGTGCACCTTAATTACGAGTAAAGGTACAGACATCGACGAAAATATTGCTAACAAAAATCATGCTACCCGTACACGTACACCGAAACCGGGGTATCCTAACCTCTCTAATTACTCATGCACTGTAGATTTGAATCACCTTCTAGTATTTATACATGAACTTGTAGTTATTGACAACTAGTACTGTAAGTTTCTCTGTAGCTCAGTTAGAGCGCTGTTCCGCGATCGTAGGGCCACGTACAGATTCGATTCCTGCCAGCTAGAGGGCAGATAGTTGCATTTTTCGCAACTGCTAGCCGTCCTGTTACGAAAACTCACTCGAAATTTCCGTCTACAAATCCCGATCAACTGTTGTTTCTAATTGTATATGCATCAAAGCACACGAACTTGTAATTATATTTCAAGTCAAAACATGAAACTTCGCTTTGCATTCACCGGAAGGTGGCACAATATATTTTGACAACAGAAAAATTTATTGCATGCAGCTGACAACCCACGATCAATAAGATTAATTTGTTTTGACTAAACGAAAACAAAGTTTAAACAAGCAAACCGGAAATATTAGTTGGACATAATCCAACTAATTAACACAGAACTTCTGCACAATTAATTTACAAACAAAAACATAAAGCTGGCCTACGACTACAGTACTGTATGTGTAATAAAATATTGCAAAGGTTGGTTGGTATCAAATTTAGACACGTGGGGGAGCAGGCTACTCAGACATAATTTATATAAACTTTCTTGGCCATATACTATAATTAGGTGTACAGGGTGTATAAAAAAAACGGAGTCGTCCTAAATATCCTTATTTCTATCGTAAAATAAGCTACCATAGTTTCGCTTTGTGCTCAATTTAAAGCTTGTTTTTTCATCTTTCGAATGAAGGGTTTCTTGAAAATTTTGAACTAAGGCTAATCGCTATAAAAAGAATTTAGTACAAGCGCTCGTTTTTAGATGCTTCGAAATATTAATCTTCGAAGTCCCTTGGGGACTTAATTAAAGGTAGTTTTCTAAAATTCAGAACGTTGTTGTTTAAAACTTTACAATCACCATTCATAATGCCAAAGCTAACAATTCCGGAAAGAACATTCATTGTGGAAAAGTATTTCGAAACAAAAAGCGTTGTTGCAGTGTTAAGACAATTTCAAATAGCTTTTCCAGGACGTAATCTTCATCGCCGAGCGTTTGGCGTAAGTGTCAACAAATACCGCCTGCATGCATTGAATGGAAGAACCACTCCATAAAGTTTAAATCGAAATAAAGGAAACTCGGGAAGAAGAAGAGTTTTTTTGGATATGAGACAAAGAACGAACTTGTGTGAACTTAGAAATGGAGAGGCCACGTTGAGTAAATGTGTATACTTCCAACTTATTTTTTGGAACGTTTAAATAAATTTTGAATTCAACACTCTGAATTCAACACATCTACGTTTTTTAATTTTCCAATTGCACTTACTTAAATTGATACAGCTCGCCTGCAATAATTCCAAATTTTATAAAATAAAGTACATAAAATGGCCGAAAGATCGTGATTTCGAAAGAATGCAAGTGAAATCGTCTAACTTTCATATTCGCTTTGAAATTCACACTTCATGTGAGGACTCCGTTTTTTTTTATACACCCTGTAGACCCTGTGGCAGGAATCGACCCTGCATGCGATTCCGGTGCAGCGCTCTGACCAACTGAGCTAGAACCCACTATATATATAACATGAACTTGTGGTTAGATCTCGACAACTGGACCCTGTAGCTCAGTTGGCTATTTACCCAGTGTAAATCAAACCCATTTATATATCGACAGTTTCAACTACTTATTCACTGCTCGATGTAAAAGATACAGTGTAATTCCTCCAAGAATTGTACCGATGTAAACTTGTGCAATCGTAGAAGTTAGGAACGATCGGAGCGACAAGCCCGATGTTGGATTCTGTCGCCCGCTTCGCTCACTCGCAGCAGACAAAGCGTTTGTGGTTACTGTCAACTGTTCCAGTACCTTCAAATGATCCGGAGTCAGTTCTTTCTCGATCATATCGAAATAGATCATCACAAAATCTTTACAGTAACCAAGACAATCGCTTTGAAGTAGCAGATAATTCTGTTTTGCAATCATGGCCATCACAACCTTAATTCCTCGTAGGGAGAGACTCAGGTTGCCAACATACAGACAGATATCGAATTCCGGTTGCTTTCCACGAAAATTCAACTCGTCCGTTTGAACGTAGTAGCGACTGTCTGAACGAATTACCACATGAAAACGTTGAACAGTTGAGCCGGGTTTAATGCACTCGCTTACATCGTAAGCAGTGAGGTAATCTTGGTCTATCATGTCGACCGTACCCAAATGTTTTTCCTCAATTACCCAAATTGAAGCATGAGTGTTGTGTACTACAAGAAAGAATATCCAATCAGGCCATGTCGTTTCATCTTGTGTTATTAAAGGGTGCTCGCGTAGACTTTCGTATTTATTGTGGACTATATCCCAAACTATACTTACAGTTTCTTGGTCAAAACCTGATTTTATGATATCGTTTTGGTTTAAGCCAAGTTTCTCTTCGAGAAGTCGCTTTCGTATTTGTTGATTCGCCATGAGAAAGGAAGTTTAGAGAGCCTTATGACTGCGAGGTCATAGTGTCAGTGAATAAATTATGTTACTGTTGTTTCTGCTCAAATGAATCGAAACTGCATATAAATAATTCATGTCAAAACACAAAAAAACTCGCACAGTATCGTTTCCTTTAAAGCATAGAGCAAAATAAATTTTCACGTTGAAATACTTTTAGAAATACTAGTTCGTTTTTAAGAAGTTATGTCTTTATTTTTATCTTTTTAATTAAAGAACCTCAGAGTTATATAAACTCCAGTGTATGTAGTATTCTACAATAAGCTGCCGTGGTTTGTGTCTGAACTACCTGAAAAAGATATCTCAAACGTGGTGGTCCAGTGTAGGTAGTATTCTACAATAAGCTGCCGTGGTTTGTGTCTGAACTGCCTGGAAAAGATATCTCAAACGTGGTGGTCCAGTGTATATGCTCATGCCTTTTTATATGAAACGTGGTCCAGTGGAGGTGGCTTGCTTATCTCGATCTCTTATCTTGCTAGTAACAGCTAAACTGTTGACAGTATAACAGGAAAGACTTGTCACCGCTGAATACTCGTATATGATGACCGCGTCGAGTTTCTCAACATGATGTCGACGGGTGGACTTGCGAATCTTCCAATTTTAGCTATGAATTTAGAAAAAAGCCTCAGTCAGGTGGCAGTGAATTCTGGATTAATTAGCAAATTAAAGGTTTGATAAGTGTTCCAACTATGTTTTATCTTGAATAGAATACATGTAACAAACTGATTGCCAATGATCCGTGCTTAAAACCAAAGGTGCATGATATTATAAAACGTTCTAGTATGTTTAAGAGGTGCTTGTTTTGTCAATGTCGCCACGGTAACGCAGGGTCAGATCCCACTTCAGGAATGTTTTTCATGTACGTTCAAAACATGAGTGTCTTGATGGACAAGCATCACCAAGATATTTTGAAAGAAAAAGAACCTATTCGATTTGGCTTCCCAGTCCGAAGGCTACAGAGATCAGTGCAACCACAGATGCAAGTATATTGTCTTGGCGCCGACGTTTCCGCGCTGTTTTTTTTTAACATTCATTTTACGACGTAATTGCTTGGTCTCTACCCTGGATTCCAGAGCCTTCGACAGTAAATAATAAATTGAAACGTCGCGAAGGCTTTGGTTCAACGGGGAGATTCTTTGATTAAACCGCGCCACTAAAACCACTAATTCTGTTTTGTGATTGGCGCGGTTTAATCAAAGAATCTCCCCGTTGAACCAGAGCCTTTGCGACGTTTCAATTTAATATTTACTGTCGAAGGCTCTGGAATCCAGGGTACTTGGTCTCATGACTATGTGAAGATTAACATCGACGAGAGATATTGAAAAGTTTACTTTTGAATCAGACAAAACTTAAAGTCAGACATTCTTAACATGTGTATGACATCATGACGTAGTACTGACCGACAGCGAATTGGCGGACGGAAAGGGAGTGACCCCCCCCCCCCCCCCTTG